AAACTATTTGATAAAGTTGTATGGTGCTAGGTAGAAAGAATGTTAAAGATTTAAAATGAATTGTTTGTGATTGTAGATAGGATATATAATTCTGCGGACGATCGTGTATGTAAACCCGTTGCAGAACTTGCTTGTTGGACTATGGACGATCGCGTATGTAAGCCCGTTGTAGTCTAGGCCTTAGAGGGCTATGACGGGGAGGACAGACCCAAAACGCGAGAGAGGGGTTAGCTCCGCCGTGAATTTAGGAAAAGTAAAGAAAGTAAAAAAATGTGAAAAGTAAAGAATGTGAAAGGTGAAATGTTTAAGTATGATAATGTATAAGTAAAAGAGATTATGGTGTAGAATTGTTAGGTATGAATGTTATGTTGCTAGTAATAATAGAAACATTGTCACATCGGGAATATGCGAAAACCTGATCGTGTTCGATCACACCTTTCGTCTTCAACCACACTGACATTAATCGATAAAAAGGTAATAAGATCACACACATAAGCATCAACCAAATTTGGTCTACTCATCTGAATCTGGATCTAGAGGTCTGAGTAAAAGAGAGACTAACCTGCAATGGTGACAAGTCTTATACCCTTAAACGGATCATGAATCCTCTTTCCATTCTTGTTGTAGCCATCATCAAAACATGTCTAGCTTCGCTTCTTCTCATGTTCCTCTGTGTAAATCTCAGTCCTTGGGCCTTCACCAATCACAACACTCTCTCGTTTATATCTTTTACCTTTCACATTGACCATCAGTGTAGATAACTGGGGTTGAGTACTCCAATCCAACGATAACATAAGAAGAAATCATAAACCCGAATTTGTCCTAAAAACCGCCAAAAATGGTAATAAGATGAGAGATAGGTAACATGATATTGAAATCGGCGGCGATAGGTAATACCTAGAAATTGAATATGAGCTGAACCAAATTTGGTTAGGGGATAATTGTAATAGATGTATGGTACATGACGTTAGCAAGCCGATAGATATACAGGGCGAACTTTCTTGCTTCTTCCTTCTCGCTGGAAGTCGATTCTTTAGCACAAAAACTGAGGTTGATTGAACAAATTGATGAAATTGATCAATTACAAAGAAAAGGAAGATGAAGTTGAGAAGAGATTCTTTAATAAGTATATTGAAGATTCTATTAAACTCTCATTAGCGAAGTTGAAAACGAAGAGACGTTGTAACCCGGCCTAATAACATAAATGCACATGGTGCAAATATTGCAAAAACTCCCCTAAAATCTACTAAAATTTGCGAAAATACTCTTTTTTTTAAAAAAACTGTAAAACCCAATAAAAATTTGCGAAATTTGGTTGAAGTTAGTGCAGATGCACCACTTGCCCTACCCTAGAACCGGCCCTGACTCGTAAGGTTCGAAGAGGGAGGGTTGACTCTTGGGTTTTTTGGATACGTGGCAATGTATGGAGTGATGATGTGGCGTTACCTGGAGAGAACCATTGAGCTAGCTTTTATATAGTAGATTATGATCATTTCAAGTTTGCAAGACTTATGTTTATTGTAGTAGACTTATTGTCGGAAACTTAATTGTGTTAAAGAGTAAGGGAAACAAACAAAAATTTACTAAAAATTGAAAAGTTATAACGTTCAAAGTCTAATTAAAAATACGAGTTCGTAATTATATATTTATGGTTCGTCGAGGTTAGTATTTAGAGATATTAATGTTTGCTAGTGTAGCATTTTGAGTCTTATTTTCATATGTTTGTGTTATCATATAGGTGGAGAGTCCTTTTGTTCGAGAACAAAGGAAATTGTTGCTTGGAGTTAAGGAGTCAGGGTCAAAAACTCCAAAGAACTTTGTTGCTATGAAGTGCCTCGAGCGTGGCTCAAAGGTCCATTTCTCTGATAAAACTGCTATGGAGAAAGAAATCAAAGACGGGAGGTTTCTTGATTTTGCTTCTGTTCATGGTAATCGCTACGGAACCAGCATTCAATCCGTGGAAGTGGTAACAGATATTGCATGTTGTTAAAAATAAAATTTTGATGAAA